TCTAGTTTGTCTGATATAAGGATTGCCACCCCAGCTTTCTTTTGGTGTCCATTAGCATGGTAAATGGTTTTCCACCCCCTCACTTTCAATCTGGGGGTGAACGTATCTAATCTTTTGCAATTTATCTGTAGTTATAGTACTCCCTCAATCATCTAAGAACCAAAAAGAGTAAGATTTTCTTAAAATGAAATAAAAGCATTGACAGCTATGAATTTACCGGGAGGACATAACTAACCACTGGTGATGCAATCATTTATAGACAAAACTGTTGATTTGCCTTTATAATACATTTTCTCCCTGCTGATACCAGACAGATTAAATTTAAATGACACACAAAAAAGCTAACATCATCTCCTCATGAGCTAACATTATCTCCTCACACACTATCTCTAAGAACTGCTGAGAGCTAGAGTCTTTTTTAAAAGTATTAGAGGAAAAAAAGACAAATTCATCCAATTTAAAAGTATAAATTAGTAAATGCCCTAATCGCATTCATCTATCATTGTCAAAGCTACATTTCTATTTGATTTGATTTCTAATTTGAAGAAAAGCAGAAAAATATTTAATCACTTAAACATAATTTGGAGTACACAGCCTACAAAAGGGATTGTAACAAAGCATTTGCTCTAATTCATTTAAATAATTTTACAAAAACTTTTCAAAATAAAACTTCTCTCAAAATTTTATCACAGTTGTATACATAATCTGCTTTAGCAGATCAATTTATTTGTGACTTATTAGAGAACAGAAAGTAAATGATATTTAGCACACATAAAGGTAAAATGAATGAATTAGAAGTTGCTCGTCTATCTCATTATTTTCAAGACCTTAACATTTCTATTCACAATTAAGGTCAGTTTAGAATTTTTCTAAATTTCTCTAAATCGCACCTTGAAGGTAGAGCTACAATAAATAGCTGAATAAATAAATAAATACATCTATTTCAAGGAGACAGGCGTTTTGTTGAAACTACATTAACATAAACAAGAAATCAAGCATTATATAAAGCAAAGGACCTATGCATACATCATCAAGTCCAAGAAGCAGTTTTTCTTCAACTGGTATGGTGTAAATAATTCATGGAATAAAATTCAAAACCCAATTAAATATTGTTCTAAAAGAACAATCAAATTCTAGTACTAGAGTTGTACATTTCCTTAAAAATAAATACACTTTTTCATGTCTTCCAGTGTCTGGTAGTTTGGCATTACGGAAGGAACTGCACCACACTGTACTATTCTCTACACCTTTTTCATGTCATAAGGATTCCATAATAATTTTTTGAAAACATAATACAGGGCAACTGGATGGCTTAGTCAGTTAAGCGTCTGCCTTCGGCTCAGGTCATGATCCCAGGGTCCTGGGATCAAGCCCCACATTAGGCTCTCGGCCCAGCGGGGAGTCTGCTTCTCCCTCTCTCTCTGCCTGCAGCTCTGCCTGCTTGTGCTCCCTGTCTCTCGCTCTGTCAAATAAATAAATAAAATCTTAAAAAAAAAAAAAAAGAAAACCTAATACAGGTTAGATATTATGTGTGGATCCATCATATAGTTTCAGAAAAAGTTTATTAACTTCTGATGTCCCTTTTGAGTCTTTCCCTATCCCTGTCTCTTCTCAGTTCCCTCAGAGGTAATTATTATACCAATTGCTATGTTTATCACTTCCTTAGGAAATTTTCTTTATGGTTTTATCACCTAAGCTTATGACAGTGAATATTTATTTTGTAAAATTTTTAATCTTGTGTAAATGAAGCTATACTGTATATATTCTTCCGAGGTTGCTTTTATCATCATCATGTTCCTGACTCTAATCCATATTTTTCATGCTTTCACTATAATTTGTCTTCACTGTTGTAGGACATTTCATTAAATGAATATATCACAATATATTTATCAATTCCATTGTTGATGGAAATTTATGTTGTGTCTAGTTTTTTGCTATGATATAAGCAATTTTGCTCTTCAGGTTCTTCTACACATCTATTGGTACTTATGTGTGTGTGAGGTCTGGCTTGTAGGGAATGCATGCCTTCATCTTTAGGAAATAATATCAAGCTATTTTCCAAAGTGGCCGCAACATTTAAGCTCCCACAGGAGGGCAGACTATAGATATCAGCACTTTTCAAGACACAAAGACAATGCAGAATGATATACAAACCTTTTTTAAAGTATTTATTCGATGTTGAGGTGGGGTTAATTCAGCTTTATTCAAAACTTTTCCAATACTAGAATTAAAAGGATACTTCTCAAATTTGAAAACAGCTCAACATAGGATAATAAAAGTACTTTATGTGTAAAAGAAAGAACTAATGATACCAAAGGTAGTGTACGTATAAGATGAAAATACATATGGGTTTAAAAATGTTACAAGTTAATGAATTTCGTTCCATAATAATTTTACTGCCACGGCATCTAGTCCAAAACAGATGGACCCTCATACACGTTTTATTCTCCTATACAACACATTGTGCAAATGTAAAGGAATAATCACATAGTACATCCTCAGAAACTAATATCCCTACGATACATCAATGCTCAAACTATAAAGCAAGCAATTAAAATTTTAGCCCTCAACAAGAACTTTCAAATTAAAACTATTTATGCAACCCTAAAGTTGAACAAGGTTTAAATTTTAGAAATACTCAATTCTACACACAGAGGTACAGAAATCTATTAAAATACAACCCTGTAACATTTAAGTGACTTCGGTCACTACCTCACCTCCCAAAAACAAACCATTATATAGTTATAGGCTTTCTTATAGAATCTTATTTGTAATACCCAGTCATAATGTATTGGCAGTCATCTTTCACTACAGTTCTAACTAGGTAAATGTAGCACTGTCTTATGGGAAAATAAATACTTTAAATAGTTTAGATCTTTATCTCCCAATTATCCTCTGGAAATAAGAAGGATATATTCTGACATTCATTCTCTATTTCCATAACCTTAGAAAATAAGCCACTTTAATCAGTTGTAAAAAGGTGAGAGGCAAAAAGTTAAAAACAAGTCATGAATAACATATATACCGGTTTGATTCGAAGCTGACCACCGACCACCTCAAGAATGGCATGTCTTCTGGACACTCTCTTGTCTGTTATCTACAGGGAAAAAAAAATAAACATTTCAAACACAGCTACCTCCATAAAAAACAACAGTAACAACAACAACAACAAAACCCACAGCAAGGTTTCTGAAATTAGTAGGTTAGATATGAAATAGTCCCTCAGCAACTGCGTATTAAAATGATTGTCCTCATTGAACAGATAATTAAACAACTCTGAGATTAAGGGACATACCCAAGGTCATAAGAAGATTAAATGGCAGAGCAGAGACCCAAACTTCGAATCTAACACATCCCAAAACTTTTCATGATAGTTTCCATTCAAGATAGACATTTTGTGGGGATTCTTACCAATAAAATTCATAAAATGAGAAAAAAATCTATATGTGGCATACTTATTAAGAAACCTTTCAAATATAAGAAATATATAGTATGTTATGATGACAAAAGGATTTAAGGAGCAGCAGTCTGGTAAATATAAAGGGGTGACTACAAGTTTTAGGGTCAGGCAGACCTGCACTGGAGCTCTAGGGCCATCAGTAGTAGTTAAGAGAACAGGAAGGTGGGAGGGGCAGTGATGAAAACCAAATACTCACATGCAGCAGAGATTATCATTTATATATGTGTGTGTGTATATATATATAAAACTATACACACATATTAATATCATATAATAATGTATAATGAATATATTTGCTTCCTGTTTTGAGCCAACAATGTTCTACCTCCCCTCACAAGCACTTCCACATACCAGAGTTTAAAAATCATTTGCACTTTAGGGCGCCTGGGTGGCTCAGTTGGTTAAGCGACTGCCTTCGGCTCAGGTCATGATCCTGGAGTCCCGGGATCGAGTCCCACATCGGGCTCCCTGCTCAGCAGGGAGTCTGCTTCTCCCCTCTGACCCTCTTCCCTCTCGTGCTCTCATTCTCTCTCTCTCAAATAAATAAATAAAATCTTTAAAAAAAAAAAAAAATCATTTGCACTTTAAATGCTGAAATTGCCGGGCGCCTGGGTGGCTCAGTAATTAATCATTTGCCTTCAGCTCAGGTCATGATCCCAGGGTCCTGGGATCGAGTCCCACATCAGGCTCCCTGCTCAGCGGGAAGCCGGCTTCTCCCTCTCCCACTCCCCCTGCTCGTGTTCCCTCTCTCGCTGTCTCTCTCTCTCTGTGGAAAAATAAATAAAATCTTTAAAAAAAAAAATGCTGAAATTGCCAATTGAGCCTTCCCTGCAAGGCTATAAACACAGTAGTTAGGATTGCCCTTGTTATTTGTGGCAGATACATAATGAAAACTTGTTAAGCACAAACTTTACTTAACACCGTAATTATTCCGCCCATCTCCGGATCACCTTAGTATCTATCACTTCAACTCTGATTATCATCCACCTAAGGACCAAAATTATCAGTAAAAACAGACTACAGCAATGCCTAATTCAATTAACCCATTAGTTCTGCAAAAACTTGCAAAAATGTGAAAGTACCAGGAATCAGTACTCATTTTTTCAATCAGAGAGCAGTTCCGCATGTAAGACTATTGACTATATAAAAATAGGCACAGTAGAATGAATTCCATATATGTGTATCTGCAACAGCTCCATTTAATTGTTAGAACATTTTCTAAAATAAAGTATCTTAAAAGTAGCCCACTTAAATTATATACACTGTTGGCCACAACAGTTCAGAAAAGTAAATATAAACTAATTATCAGAAAGGAGAGAAGAGGGGTGGGAGGGATGGGGTGGCTGGGTGATAGACACTGGGGAGGGTATGTGCTATGGTGAGCACTGTGAATTGTGTAAGACTGTTGAATCACAGACCTGTACCTCTGAAACAAATAATACTTTATGTGTTTAAAAAAAAAAAGAAAGAAGAAATTTGGAGGTTCCTGTATTCTCCCCTATTGTGTGCCTTGTGAGGCAAAAACACCAGCAGTTACCTGATAACCCAATTTACCATGTGCAGATTTTATCATTTGCATAGAACTTTCGCTTAAATGTTGAGATTCACCATAATACTGCCATAGCTATTATTCACATTTTACAAATTTGGAAACTGAAAGTCTAGAGAACTGAAGTAACATGTGTAGGCCACTCCTCGAGTAGGTAGCACTCCAAATCCATCCTCATTAATAAAAATAAATATGTGGGGAAAATAGTCATATATGATTCTATACCTGCATATAATCACTCAGAAACAGTTTCAAGAAAAGAAAATTACTCTGTGTCAGGGAGTAAGAAGCTTCTAATTCTAACTTGGGTAGTAAGATCTCATTGCTAACTTCAACAATACAAATCCATTTGTAGCAGACTGTCAAGTATAAAACCATGGCATGCAATGATGGTTCCTGTAATAGTCCAGCTTGGGTTTCTTTCTTTTTCAAACCATATTTTTGCAGGAAGCAATAATGGACTTTTTCTATCTCAGTGTTTCTTTGAAGTAGGCTTTCCCGACACTAGCATGAAAAAAAAATATGAAAGCATAACATGACCTCTAGTGGACATATCATTCCATAACAATGTAATTTCATGACAAGTTGTGCATTTCTATAGCATACCAAAAAAGTGTTTTTTTAAAGAGCCTTTCAAATTAATGTTATTTGGGCATTTAGCTATAATAGGCCCTTTTAAACTATACCTCTAAATAATGAGTAAGTTAGAAAATAATAATTTATGTCCTCTCTACCGGAAGCTTTTAACAAATTATCATTGGGGCTTATTTTAATTTCAGGATGGGTGTGGAGAGGGTAGAAGGTAGAGGGAGGGTATGTGGAGGCTAGGTCATAAATAGATTACCCTAAGGAGCTGATGGCCTGCTTTATTAAACAGAGATCACTGTTCCTTGTGCAGAGTAAATATCCATATATTCTTACTACTATATTAACTGTAATAGCAATTATTTATCAAGACCAAGGCACTGTTCTATTATTTATCATGTATTATCTTTTTTAATCTTCACAAAAGCTGCAGAGAAGACACTATTATCTTTATTTTAAGTGAGAAATACAAGTACAGTGAGGTTAAGCAACTACTTAAAGTTACACAGCCAATAAGCAGCAGGACCGAGACTCGAACAGAAGGAATTGATTCTAGGGACACTCTTCCTTTTTAAAACTATATTTCCTCCATGGGGCACCTGGGTGGCTCAGTTGGTTGAGCGTCTGCCTTCGGCTCGGGTCATGATCCCAGCGTACTGGGATCCAGCCCCACATCGGGATCCGTGCTCAGCGGGGAGCCTGCTTCTCCCTCACCCTCTGCCTGCCTGTCTGCCTACTTGTGATCTCACCCTCTCTCTCTGTGTCAAATAAATAAATAAAATCTTTAAAAAAAAACTATATTTCCTCCTTCATTATCATTACATAAAATAATAATTTTTTAGATTATTTACCATCAGCTTAATTGAATATAAACTAGAACATATTAAAGAACTGGAAATAAGGCAGAATGACTATTTAATAAGCAAATAGACATTCTCAGAAAATCAAGCCCTAAGTAAAGCTCCAGAAGGTCTTCAGGTTTTCAATTGGTCCTATTTATTCTAATGTCATACCCAAGTCTAACAAGATGTGTTATCTGAATTCCCAAGTCTATGGCCATACCACCCTGAACATACCCGATCTCGTCTGAATTCCCAATTGTCTACTGACAGTAGACAATAAAGTGGATAGGGCTTAGTAGGCGGTGCATTGGCAATGGGGAAAAATGACTGATGTTGGTCTGCAAGTGGAAAGATAAAAGCTATAGAAAAGCAAAGAAACCCAAAGACTCAAAAAGACTGCACTGGCTAGAAGCTATTGAGACTAGGAACAAATGGCATAACATACTTCAAAAGGTACTAAATATTTACCTGAGTTTATTGATTACCCTGTTTAAATGAAAACTTTATTTGAAAGTCAGACATTTCATATCTTTAGAAAGCCATAAAAATAGTTAAAATAGAGGAATTCCAATTTCCTATCAAATAACTGTAGCCACCTAAATACTAATCACACCATATAAAAAATCAGAGATCAACAAATAGAACAAGTAAAGCCACCTATATTCACATCTAAAGCACAATAGGAAACAGAGATGACCACAAAGTTTACATGTAAGAGGGGAAAGAATCACCAAATGCAACCAAATGTTACTATGCTGGAACAGAAAGTCAAGTGACAACTGGGAGGGAAAAAGAGAGTGAGAAGCTAGGGGTAAGCTAGGGGTAGTGGGGCACAGATAAGATCACTCCCCAAAATAATCACACCTTGACTGAGAAATAATGAAAATATATCTCACATCCAGCAGCTCAATGGTCCAGCAAAATTGGGAACAATCTGGGCATCAATATGAATAATGATAATAATGGAATACAACACACTTTGAATACAAAATAATCCATGAGTTCATACAAAACTCGAGAAAGGGGCTGAGGCTAGGGCTGGGAGGAAAAGCTCATATTCATAAAAGAATGCCAACTAATGAAGAAATGATCAAACCAGAAAAATCACTATTTTGTAACTACCAATATAATAATTGACTCAGTAAAGATTGATGGATGTTAACTTTCAGGTGAGTGCTTCATGGGAAAAAGAATATCCCTGAAGTCTCAAAGCATCATTGCACAAATTACTCACAAAGGGAATTGTGTCTTTACTGGAGAAGTCTGACAGACACCACCTTCCCAAAGTGATCACACAACATCATCAACAATTTCGGGGCGTCTGGGTAGCTTAGCCGGTTAGGCCTCTGACTCTTGATTTCGGCTCAGGTCATGATCTCAGTTGTGAGACTGAGCCCCGCATAGGGTGTGGATGGGTGTGGATGGGTGTGGAGCCTGCTTAAGATTATTCTCTCTCTCCCTCTCCCTATGCCTCACCCCTGCTCACACACATGCACGCATGCTCTCTACAAATAAATTACCTAGAAAATGTAGTATATGATTGTTAAATAACACAAATGAAGTATAATTTTATTTCAGTAAAATTAATAAGCCTCTTCCTATTTAGTTGTAATTTTGTTCACTTCTTTGTTTTAGACTAGGCACCACAAACTGGTAGCCAG